GTCGGCGAATATAATTCTCTACCGACATCGCTGTGTTATTAACACTATAACATTCACAATAAAACAACACGTGGCTCATCGATTTTTTGATACACTGCCAACATCATTTGGTCACGATTTGTTAAAAAGCATTTTTGGTTTTTCATTTCTCTCATAAAATGATCTGACTAGTACAAAAATCGTCGGTTATTGCAAATCAGTCATGCCTGAAGCAAACAGTTTGATCCAGCAAGCCATAATATCCTGAATTGATGGGACGGGTTGACCAACTCTCCCTAATTACATTGTCAGTAGGTTTTCTAACTGCTATTTAGTCCTCAAGTAATTGTTTATCCACAAGCGGAAGAATGAACTCTGAAATCCAGTCAGTCTACACCAGAAGGGTACTCGGCCTACTAGACCAGTAAGTAGTTAATAGCGTATTCAAAGCGGAGAAGCATCACATTTTTGGACTTTTCACATCAACTGCAAATGCAAGGAATTTCTAACAGTATCAACTCATTAATGGCACACGTGCGCTTACTGCCTTGTGTGTACAGACTTCATTAAACAATCCCCCAATTTCTCTGAAACTGTCCTGCAATCGAGGGTATGTTGTTTTTACCATGACTGATATGATACTATTTCGTAATTATTTCACACACCACTTAAAGATCAAAGTGAAATGAAGGAATCTGGGCTTATATCAACTTTCCCCGTAATGAAGTTTTTTAAATCAACTTAGTGTGATCATCAATATTATATAATATGTAGTATACACCTGATGAGATACAGCGAAGTATATTCGGATACAAATTGTGCATCGAATTTTGGTTTATTTGATGTGAAATAAAGAACCAAACTGGTTTCAGCCAAAATGAATTAGAAAGTGATCCTTAAGACAACTGTTGAGTGTTTATCAAATAGAGAGTTTCCTGTATTCTGTTAGTTATGCTTCGGTTTAGGAGGAAATGATGTTTCAAAGTTTTGGTACCAGAAAACAATGAGACACGTTGATGCCACCAACACTTGATAATTGCCGTGGTTTCATGAATGGTTAGTCAGTACTGTTCAAAACCAAGAACTGAATGGTTTATTTGGAGACGAGCAATAATGTGATCGGAAGTTTAAAGATACTCGTCTAGGACATGGAATTTTCGTGGGACACTATTCACTTGTGAAAAAAATTAATTATATAGAGTTCTCTGGTGTTGGTCGTTAATCGCGACACGAATCGCTAAGAATGGCCACTTATTTCTTCAGTTTAGACAAAAGTATTGAGTGCTGCTTTATAAATGATGTTGCAGTCCGCATCTCAATATGACGAGTGCTGAGAGCGGAAATCAGCACAGGAACGATCGGTGAAGTCACTTCATCTGCGGATCAATGAAAAAAGATGTCTCTTCGAGACGAGAAATAAATCTCGCGATGTCATGTGGGGTTCGCACAACTCGATATCTACAATATTGTATTGATCTTTCATCTTCAAGTTTTTATAAATTTCGCTTAAAGAGCATAGAAAGAGTTTTTATTTAAAGAAAGTTTGCTAAAAATAGTTGTCCTTTACTAAACACTAAACTAAACGCTAAGCTTTAAAATTACATGAATAATGAAAATCGACTTCACAATCTTTATCGTTTTGCCAATAAAACGTTATTTTGGCCGTTCAAAAAGTTGCACAGAATTGAACATACTGTAACACGCACTGTAGTGAGATTATGCAGCTAAATATTATGGAGTACCTCCCCGAAACTCAAGGTGACAGATAGATGCCAAGAAAATTGCTATGCATACCAAAAGAAAGGGGACCACTGCAAGGTGCTGATTTTCATTTTCTGCACTATAAGAAAATAAGGATGATTTTTTTGAGTAAAAAGTGATATTTTGTTTTACAGAGACATTACGCAGTCGAGTACAGAATATGTTGTTTGGAAAGCAACCCCAAGTGACGGTGCGCATTGCCCAACCGAATCGCAATCAGAATAATAAATTAGAGTAAGTTTTCTCCCCACAGTTGCGGTCTGGTTGTGTCCGAGCAATTCCAAATAAACGTTTGAGGTCAATTGATTGATTCTGATCTTGCATCCAGCAGAATTCAACTAGCTATACACGCATATCTAGCACTATGAAAATGACAAAATATATAACTTTCATATAAGACTAGGTCCAGACTACGGTGACAGAAGTGAAAGGATATGAATTAGAGATAAGTCGGTAAAAAACTGTCCTTATGCATGGTGCCAATCTGGTGTAATGTGATCGAACTTTCATTTGTTCATTTTGTATCAGGTATCAGATAACGGAAGATACTAAGCTTATGGTTGAATTGTATTTTTTTAATTACGCATCTTTGTATGATGAACAGCAGACAGGGCAAATCCCATCTTCACGAAAATCTCCTATTCACTCACGATAACTGGTAGTCTAAACCTTGGGACTCAAGGTGGCTAATCGTATGATGATCCATTGGATCAAGCGTGGTATTTGGCTCGGACAACCATGAAGCTACCTACTGTCCAGTTGGGAGGCGATCGCAGAGTATAAACATCAGAGTATAGCACCCAAATTATGCCGGTGACAGCAATTTAAACAGCTTGACAATCACCAACCTTTAGAAAAGGTTCACAAACTACAGGGTATTCAAAGCCATGGATTCTACGGTAAATTAGTCAGGACAGACAGCTTACACGCCGATTGGTGAATTTAATTTGCCTCTGGAAATTGGGTATGGTGATCAAAACGTGAAAGTGGGTACCATCTATCTTAATTCACAACTCACCTAATAGAACGTGCACTGTGACTAAAACGCAGGCACTATTCACTCATGCGTTTCGATCTCCCCGCCCCGCCCCCCCCCCCCCCCCCCCCCCCCAC